CGGTGGGGCCCCCAGAGTCGCTTCCAGGTCAATGTCAATCCAGAGTCCCCTGTGGTCCGACTTAAAATACTGCTGAAAGTCCAAGTATCCACCTGCAGTTACACGGACGCCGTCGGTCACAAATATATCATGATGGGAGTATCCGTTGTCCAACTTTGGGTTGTCGCTGGGTAAGGGCCCTGATGTCGGCGTAAGATGGCCTCGGTCAGACCTTCTGACCGCATCTCTTGGCGGAAGGAAGAGGGAGAGTTGTAGGAGACATCTTTGTTTGCATCTAACCCAAGGAGAATCTCACACCCTTCCGCTGTTGTTGGATGTCCCTACCCCGGATCTTGATCCAAGAGAACCTGCCTAGCCCTGTCTCATCTTTGCCGCCTGACTTTGCACGGCGCGCGACCTTGTTGAGTAGTGTAGCAGAACATCCGCTCCATTGATGCGCCGAGGGAGTTGGAAACTCCTGGTGTTCGTAGTAAATGTCCCTGGTTAGTGAAGGACTTGACCCGATCAAACCACTTGTGTCCTCTGGGCACTGCTGACCATTGAAGGTTAACTTCAGCCAGCAATGCAATGCCCACTCTCTCATCCGTCCAACACTTGAAGAGCCCTTTCTGTTTCTCATGTGTCATAGGAAATGGAAGACCCTGAACATTTTGAAAAAGGACCCGGGTAACGCGAGGAGACTTCTGGCGTGAGTCATTGCCGAAGTAGTTACCGGGAGGGAGAGAGTTTAAATAAGCATCCAGCGAGGAGTGGGCCACCTGGCTGGATGTGTGTTGGTTGCGTAGATTTTGACCTCGGCCTTCCGTCAAACGCCGCAACCTTGCGTGACAGGACCGTTGGTGGTTAGGGACCACCGCCGGGGGGGCCACCCCCACTGTCAGCCGATGATGTTGCCTTGCTGGAAGAGGGGCTTGACGAACGGTGCTTGCCTGTGACCGATGCTTGTTCCGCCATTTTGGCCTCCAGTTCAAGGATACGAGCGTCCTTGGCAGCCTCCGCATTCTTAGCTTGAGCCAGTTCTTCCGCCGCAGTCTCTAATTCCGTGCAAAGGTCATTGACATCCGCTTTCATGTTCTCCAATAGTGCTGCCATATTTGCTGCGCTTCCTACTGTAGCCCCGTCATCCATATCCTTGGCAGCTGGCATCGACGACCCGCCATCCGCAATTGTCGACGCAATCAAACAAACAAGAAGGGGCAAGTCTATCAACAATGCTCCAAATCGAGAATCAGTGAAGGAACCGGATCCGCCTCGTATCCAAAAAATATACAATCCGATGTATTCTATTGACGAACCAGGCACGGATGTTCAACGCGAGTCCACCAGCTCCGAAGGGGACCAGGTGCAAAACTCAAATCGCTTTGCACCTCTACAAAGTGATGATGACTCGTTTGAAGGTAGTGGAATTCAAGAATTCGACGAGGTTGAAGTGGTGGCGGTGAAAAAGAATGCCTCCAAGGCGCCTGAGTCGTCGGATGAAGATGAAGACACTGAAGCTGACGACACTAACGACAGGGAGAACATTGTGGACGATGCAATGGAGGAAGACGATGATGACGAACGGGTCAATACCGCTGGGGCGAACCCGCCCGATGAGGCCATGGACAACAACACTCTACCCTTGACTTCTCGTAAACTTACGGCAACACAAGACTCAGCAGGTACAGGGACCTTTATGGAGCCCTCGGAAACAACTCCTTCTTGCGTTCAACGTCCCCCAACACTGGCCGAACGGATCTCGAACCTCATTCAGGTGAACATGGAAGGGATACCAGGCAAGTGTCACATCTTTGAGACTACTTTCTCCTTGGACTATCAAGGGTCGGATTCAGGAACTGTGGCGGAGGCGCTCTTGCCGACAGTTCTGACGTCTATGGAGGAAGCCATCAACAATTCCCCTAATGAATTGAAGCTTCTTCCGATCTCTGATACCACATATAAGCAACCGAATCTTTGGATTCGAAACTCAGTAGATTTACGTAA